CTTGAAATATAATCTAATCTTCCTTTACTTTTGGAACCTTTTGAATTTTACTTGTTTTTCCTTTTTATCGTGTGGTATTCTTCCTTCTTTCCCACGACTCCCAACTCTTCGGGAGAAGCTCAAGTCGCTTCACAAGAGGACTTTGCGATGTCAAACTGTGAAAATGCAAGACGACCAGCTTCTTGCCCCTAGTAGCGTCCTTTGCTCCTAGTAGCAATGCCCTTATGCAACACAACCAGCTCGCATCTTTGGGTCAAGGCATTTAAATGGCACGGGGAACATTGCAATGGATCGTCAAAGCAAAGGAACTCCGGCGTCTGCACCTAGGGCATCTGCGTCTGTGCTTGGAAAAGTGTGATCAGAAACAATGCTTGAACAAGGCATGAATGTCTCAAGTTTGAAACACAAAAAGCTTCAGCTTGACCATCAAACCTCAAGAGTTTCCTCCAGTCCTGTTTCTGAGATCGGGACTCGCAAAGAGATCTTGTATGGAAACTTGCCCTGGCCATCTTGGGACTTACTTGCGAAGCTAGTAGTAACAAGTGCCTTACTAGTAGTAACAAGTGCCACGCTAGTAGTAACAAGTGCCTTACTACTAGTAACAAGAAGCTATTAGAAACAATACAAACTTGCCCTGGCCATCTTGGGACTTACTTGCAGACTTCAACAAGGGCACACAAAGGACTTGACACAAAGTGCAAACAAAACCTCGTACAGCCGAGAACGAGAAAGCTCTACGAGGCCTGTTTGGGGTTCCTCCCAAGCCACACCCATGATATCCAATGTCACCTACAACTTTCCGTTTTGTTGTCCCTACCTTGGCAATGCCATAGATGAAGCCCATGAAGATGTTGTCGCTGTATGACTGCTCCACCTCCTCCAACCGCAACCGCCCGCTCCATTGTAAAGCTGCGATAATTGACGAATCGTGGCGGGACATTCTCTGTTTCCTTTCACGAGGCCAAGACTGAAAGCCCTATATATAGGCAAAAGGCGAAAAATGGCAGCTTTCTTGCGCGAATCCAACCCAGGTTGCAGCTGGTCCTCTAAACTGGCACCACATGCATTGCAACCTGGTTGAAGCAGGCTGAACTCGTCTTAGAATTATATGTTAGCCGAGCAAGCTGTAAATTGTTTGTTTAGTGTTTGTTGGCAGCTTGTTGTCCACAAAAGTCCTCCAGCAACCCACTAAGGCTCGTGGTCGCCAGTGCAGACCAAGGGGCATGCTAAAGTGAAGGCGCCTGAGTGAGACGGGGGATGTCACTGAGAACCAAACTCCAAACTCCCATGCGTCTCTGGACTTGATTGCCCTTTCGTACAAGAACGCAAAATCCAACCACAAAGCTTACTCTAATTAGCAAAAGCTCCCATTTAGAAAAGTCTGGAAAGTGAGAAATCTTTCTTGTTTGACATGTTTATGGTACAAGCCACAATCGCTTTGGGGGTTGTGATATCCAAGACCGGCACAGGCTTTGCCACACTTTCCACACACCTTGACGGTGTTCCGAAGTCGCTCCTGGCAAGCGAAGAGGCTCTTCATCTTTCCATGTCTTTCCTCTGCATGGCACTGCATAGCACTGCATGGCATCACCCAGAGAGTGTAAATGGATGCATTCTGTTCCAAAAGCCAACATCCCTCTGTCGCCCAACATGCGACATGAAGATGTGGCCCAGTCCAGTGCTGAAGCATCATCTTTATGCTTTTCTCTGAAGTCCTGCGGAGCCAAGTCACTAGCACCAGGGCAAGTGGAGTACACGATATCGCGGGGTTGGACGAACGAAGCAAACAAGGCAGTATCGATCAAATGCGCCTCAAAGAAAGGAATGAAAAAAAGAAAGGCAAGGAGGTCTCAAGACAATCGGAAACCACAAGCGGAAAAAAGAAAAGAAACTGAGAAGAAATAAGGAAAAGGAAAGAACAAGTGTAGGCCTTGGGTCTTGATCTTGATTACCTCTGGTTATGGACATCAAAAGTGAAACAAGAACGCCATGGTTTTCCTTCTCAAAATAATATCGCGAAACCGTTTCTTGCGAAGGTTCCCCGTTCACAAGTTTGCTGCCATCCGTGCAAACACCAGAACACCTTCACTGAACTGTGTTCAGGAACACGGAACACGATATAAACAACTGTCTTTGTTTCAGACAGTCTTGAAAAATACTGCGGTTCTGAATTCAATGTAATTTTGCTGTCACTTCTCAAGTCAGCCCACCTCAATACTCCCAGGGAAGCGCGGCTCTGCCGGCACTTCCATATGGTGTACATGCGGCGCACCTCGGCAGTAAGAGGTAGTTCAAAGCAAACCTAGTTTTGCGATTTGGTAGTTGTTGAGTGCCTCAATGTTCTGTTGTTAGTAGCGTCCTCTTGTTACTAGTAGCTACTTGCTCCTAGTAGTACGGCCAGGCCAGGAGCCCCTAGTAGCATCCTTGCTCCTAGTAGCGATGCCCTTTGTTACTAGTAGCTTCTTTTAGCTTCATGAGAAAAAAATGTGGAAGGTATTTGCAACACAGGTGCTTCACCGCATCAAAAGGACGCAGCACAGAAGCAAAGAGTCGAGGTGTTCTGTGAGTCTTAAGGCTTCAAACATCCAAAGGCATGGTCCAAACCTTCCTACAAATAGATCGTGCAGAAGGAAAGCAGTTTTCATAAAAATGTAATCCTGCCCAATCATCGAGGAAAATAGTCTATGCTGCAACGAAGAATACGATATCCAGGCATCCCGCTGCCGCAGAATCCTGCCAGGTAGGAGGTGTCCTTCAAAGCTCCTCGTGCTGATGACGTGTCAAAGATGTGCCGCCGAAGTGATCAGGACACCAATTTGCAGTCTTTTGAGGACGCAATCGATGAAATTTGCTCAGGCTTTGTCATCCATCCTGAGTCTTAGAAAAGATTGTATCCAAAAAATCATTTCATACTCGAACCAAGTGTTTCATCCAGAAATCCCAACAATCCAGAAGGTTCAGTTGCTCTTCCAGCTATCTTTGTGGCTAAGGTTTTGGGGATCAGGAATCGATCATGGCATACTGCTATACTCTGATGATAAGGGCAAGCAGCTCGTCTTGGTCAAGGGTTTTCGTTGATATATATTCTTTTTTAGACCAGCCTATTGAGCATCCCCCGCAAGACAAGCTACTGATTGACACTTCCGCTTTCTTCCCTGCACAGGAACTGCACCTATGGAGTCTGATGACAGCCACTTCAGGAAGTACTCAATATCAATACACCTCAGGTGATTGTCTGCTAGTCATGCAGCAAAGAGGTGTTGCCTCAAAAATGCAATAAAGTTCATGTCAAAGAGGACACAGCTCACGAGCCGAACACCCCAATAGCTTCTGAAAATGCCACCTTGAATGCCCTCTAACCTACTAGCGATGGCCTCCACCCTAATAGCTTGGCAAAACGACATTAAGGTCCTCACTTCTCGCCTGGTGCGAGCGGGTCTGCGGTCACCATCGGGTGGGGTCAAGGTTTCATCCGAACCATGTTTCGCACTAAAAAGCATAGTCCGGAGAGCCAACTCTCATGGCCGGCTCTACTTGCGACCGGCTGTGGATGGGAGGAGTTGTGATTTCTGTCGGTTTACGCATTCTGCTGTTGCTAATTGGTCCATTCAACACCTTGCCCAGTTGTTAAAGCCGAAGCGCGCACCATGACCACCAATGACCAGTCCATGTGGCTCAGGCCTTGCGCTGCATCCTCTAGCATAGCGTTGATGGCGTCTGCGCTAATCTTCTCCTCAATCCCAACCCCCGCATCAAAGGCTCATAACGAGAAGCCACACAAACTCCAACTCAGGGGTCACAAGGCCATCGGATGAACAGTTTCACTTTTCTTCATGAAAGCATTGAAAGCATGCTCACATGCTCAGGAGGCTCGGAATTCTCTCCCTCGGATCCATCTTCACCAAGCTTTTCGCCCAGAGTTATATAAATGCATTCACCGCAAAGCAAAAGAAGCTTGCATGACGAAATCAATTGGCGTCATTATCCAAGCAACTTTGATGTGCTTGGAAGCAACCAATGGCATAAAGAAAATGAACACTTCAGGTATCCCGGCCTGTGCGATCTGCACCAGTGCCTTCGTCAAATCAAATGAATGAGTTTGCCAGGAGCCCCTAGTAGCGTCCTTGCTCCTAGTAGCGATGCCAGGAGCCCCTAGTAGCTTCTTGTTACTATTTCGCCAATGCATACTTTTGTTCGAACATAAATACACTTCACCCCCTGCCTCTCGCAAGTGAGAGAGCTCTGCCATACCAGTAGGGCACGCATCCTGCAATTTTGTTTGGATCAGGTGCAAAGGCCTCTGGAGTTCACCCCTAATTTTGCCAGGCTTGACTCCTTGGAATGGGTGCTCTTTGATCCACTCATCCAACATCATCTGCATTGACCCTAATAGCAAAAGGAACCTACTAGCGATGGCCTCCAACCAAGTAGCGAACACAAACACGCAACCCCGCCGGTCCCTGAAGGTCTGTGCCACAACATCCATGGCTCAAAACAGGCTGCGGCATGAAGCAAGCGCGATGCGTTCGTGTCAAGCGACGTCCCATGCAACCAGGCCCGGATCATGTTCCACGGTTACGAAAGCCCGGTCAACCATATGCACGAAGAGGTAAATTGGTGCGATATATTATATAATTATATACATGAAATATGATAGATATGTAGAATGTAAAGGATAGATCAGTAGATCCCACTGATCCCACTGTCAAAGTAACCAAGCTGAACCATCCCAAGACCTAACAAAGGCTAACAAGAAGGGTCAGGGTCCTAGGTCCAGAAAGCCTTCTAAGAAACGACTTGTTTCTTCGCAAAGAATGCTTCTGGTAGTCTGCATACTAGTAGGGTCCTAGCTCCTAGTAGCGATGCCCTTTGTTCCTAGTAGCTTCTTGTTTCTAGTAGTAAGGCCAGGAGCCCCTAGTAGCAACCTTGCTCCTAGTAGTCTGCATACAAAACCGATTCCCATGATCCGCAGAACTGCACAGGCTTCTCAGCCCCCGTACGCAGTGATCCCAGAAGCAAACCTGGCGGAACTTTGTTCTGGCGGTGGTAGGCCTGTTCGGATGAACCCCACAACCAACCAAAACCAAGAACTTTGACTGGAGAAACTAAACACTGAAAAAGCCAAAACACAAAGTCTTGACACGACCCTGGTCACCTTCCAACCCTTTCCCAATACCATTAGCCTATTAGCCGTGACTCATTCAGTTTTGATATGCTTTCATTTGCCTTTCTTTTTGCATCCTTCGTTCCGCTTCGAGGCTCAACCGATTACCGCGCTCTTTTTTCACCGCTCGGACTCCATGAGCCCGGCCAAGCGGCGGTGGATCCTCAAGCGATCAGTGTGGCGCTCCTGAGATGCAAACATCGGCAGTGTGACGACCCTTTGGCCCTAGGAGCGACGCTACTAGGGGTTCCTGGCCTTACTACTAGGAGCAAGAACGCTACTAGGAACAAGTGCATCGCTTCTAGTAACAAGTGCCTTACTAGTAGTAACAAGAAGCTACTAGGGGCTCCTGGCATCGCTACTAGGAGTAAGGACGCTACTAGGGGCT